TCAGCTGGGCAGACACTCTTTAAACTTCTGTGTTTATGAAGATTTATGAGCCACCAGATTTTTAAAAAGATGTTTCTTTTATATCTCAATGAAAATAATTTTTTTCTTTCACTTTCAATTAGAACCTTGGTTGATATAATTAGATTCTTAACATCAGTTTAAATTTAACTAGAAAACAGTATGAATAGTAAGGGCAGTGATCACAGGGATTGAGGAAGACAAATATATTTAAAAATATTTAGCAGACAATATTAAAAGGATCTTATGTTGAATTTGTGGTAATGAGACAAAACGGCTAAGATTAAGTCTCAGATGTGGAATTGGTCTCCATCCAATTTGTGTGATCCATATATACATCTTTGCATTTTCCTGCAGTGCTATAAATGCTGAATAAGTATTCAGTGATTGATAAAATATTTCATCTGTAAGCAATTACCTATTTTTCTCCAGCTTTTAAAGGCAAGTTAAAAAAATTAGTAGTGGAGTTGAGGTAAATCTTACAAAAGGAAGCTAATGTTACTTCTATAGAAACATGAGAGGCCACCTCCATCTCAGCCACTTTATCTCCTGTGTGAGCTTTTTGCCCAGGTCAAGAAAACAAATTGATACAAGATAGATCAACGAGAAAAAAGCATATAAATTTTATTCATTTTACATGTACATGGGAATCTTCACAAGAGTGTGAAGTCCAAATAAATGGTGAAAGGAAGATGTTTTTATACTTTTAGACAAAAAAATGACAAATTGTAGAAAAAAATTAGAGAAAAAAGAGAAACTGGCTGGAAGCCAAACATTTTAGGGTAGTCACTAGGAGGTATATGTGGGTGTAAAGCTAGTAGAAAATAAGGGTTAATTCTGGAAGTGTGTTTGTTCAGGTCCACTGCATTCCTCCAGTTCCCAGGCTCTGGTGATAAGGGCTATTTTCTATTCTGTTACAGGGAGGTTACCGGAAGAGAATCAGAATATATCAGAGATTTCTGCAGAAATCTTTATAGCTTGCTGCATGCTGAAAAAGACAGGTCAGATAACCTTTTTCTCCAATGTTAACCAAAATTTTTCCAATGTTTTCAGCTCAAACTATTAAGTATGCTGACTCAGCATATTTGTGGATGGGGTGTCATTCACTCCTTCACTTTAATTATTTCACTATCGAACCACAGCTTATTGTGATGAGAAACACACTCATTCTCCAAATAGAATACTAATGTTCCTTTCCATAAATCAAACTTTGCTAATTTAATACATAAGAAATTTCTAAATGCACACAATGTATATTGTGAAATCCAAAGAGATATCATGTGCTATAAAATTTGCATCTTTTAGTCTAAGGACAGGACACAATTAAAGAATGACTATGAAGTGTAAAATAATATCTACTGCAGAACATTTGGATGGAAAGAAAAATGGCTAAAACGAAGCACCACGAACAGTGAGTCAAGACTCTGTGAGGTAATGAATTTGTTAATTTCTCCACCAAGAGGAATTATTGTTGAACTTTCAAAATGATCTGGAGTACATTCTCATAAATGATGTAGCAAATGACAGCAGATTTCGATAATTCGACTTGTTTCTATGTTGTTGTTCTTAATGACCTTAAGGGGAAAGGCATGGCCTCTGATTACAGATGCCATGTCAGAGGGGACGAGCTTATTGCTTTCCTGAGCCAGAGCCTACTGGGGTAAAAGAATTTTTAAAAGTCATTTCTGACAGCCTTGAAATGCTCAGTATTCACTGTTGACCTCTTTATCTCCACTAACAGAGTCATTGGCATGAAAAATAGGATTACATTTGCCTACACAGGAATGTCAGTAGGAGGGACTTCACTAATGCCATTTACTGATAAGGTACAAGGCATCCATATTGTTTTTCAGTAAACTAACTTCAGAGAGACAGAATGATTTCCCCAAGACCATGGTATGTCACAGAAAGTCATAGAGCTAGGTCTCCTGATTCCCTCTGGGAATCACTACCTGAAATGGTAATGGGTCTAAACTGGGCACCACTGGTAATAAGGGCTGTTTTCTATTCTGATACAGGCAGTACTGGAATGATTTCCTCAAGGCCATGGTATGCTTAATTCAGTGCTCCCTCGGGCTCTTTCCAATAACAACTAACAAAAAATAGCAGCCATTGTGTCTTAGTCTATTCAAGCTACTATGAAAAAGTATCTTAAACCAGGAAACCTATAAATAAGAGAAATGTATTTCTCAGAGTTGTGGAAGCTGGGAAGTCCAAGACAAGGGGCCTGAAGATTCAGTGTCTGGAGAAGCTTTGCTTTCTGGTTCATAGATGATGCCTCCTATGACATCATAGATGGCACCATCTGCTGTGACCTCACATGGTAGAAGGGATGAACAAGCTCCCTTGAACTCCTTTAGAAAGGCACTAATCTAATTCATGAGAATGCTACCCTCATTACCTAATCACTTCCCAAAATGCCTCAATTCCAAATACTATCATATTGGGGGTTAATATTTAGCATATGGATTTTTGGAGGATACAAACACTCAGACCATTGCATATTCCCACCACTATACTACACTTCATGATGTCATTCACTTCCTGTTCACTCTTTTCATCCTTCTCCGGACTGCCCTGATGGAAATATGAACAGGGTTCCACACTTGAAGGACTCCATATATAATTTCATGCTCTGCTGTTATCATTAAAATTTTTAACAATTTCATCTCTGAGTATGCATGTGACAAATGAGCTGGAGAGGCTGGCAGCATTAGCATGCAGTTTTGGTCCAATAGCAGCGACTACACAACAACACAACTGGACCCACACAATACCCACATGGGGCAATTAAACTGGCTTTCTCATGCGTGCGCGCACACACACACACACACACACACACACACACACACACACATACACACACACACACATCTTGTAATACTTCACAGCACCACAGGACTCCAAGGAGTGTCTGGGGTATGGCTGGGCTCAGATTGGTGGTGATGACAGAAGCAGTGGCACAGGTGGCAGTAGGTACAAGTGTCCCTAACTGGGAAGCAAGGAGGTGCTTGCCCTGGCAGCAGCAAGTACGTGGTGATGGAAGGCCCATTTTCCCTCTGTCCCAGAGCCCATCCTTGTTGTATTCATAGAATATGACCTATCTGACTGAATCCAGGACAGGAAATGCCAGGAATCTTAGGCAGTAAACTTTGTTAGTAAATCATTACAAAATAAAAATATACGCTTCTCATTGCATAAAGCACAAAAAGTACTTACTCTGATTCATAAAACAAGTTCAAAATTTATGTCTTAACTGCTACAACACTGCAAAACAAATAACCACAGGCTTAGAAATAGAAATGACATTTAAAGAGCATTAAAAGAATTTTAACTATGTAATACTTTACTGTTAACTGTAGTTATGAAAGAGAACACTAGAATTTATTTGTGCAAAATACTGGTGAAAGAAAATGAAGAGGAATACAAACAAATGGAAAGACATCCAATGCTCATGGATGGGAAGAATTAATATTATTTAAATGATAAAACTACACATTCAATGCAATGTCTGTCAAAATACCAACGACATTCTGCACATAAATAGTAAATATAATTCTAAGATTTGTATGGAACTATGAAAAACCCAAATAATCAAAGCAGTCCTGAAGAAAAAGAACAAAGCTGGAGGCATAGCAATACCAAACTTCAAACTACACCACAAACATGTAATAACCAAAAGAGAATGATACTGGAATAAAAACAGACACATAGAACAATGAAACAGATCAGAGAACCCAGAAATAAATCCACATATCTCCTGCTGAGTTAATTATTATTTTTAAAATTTCTATGGATACATAATAGTAATATACAATTACAGAGTGTATATGATGTTTTGATAAAAGCTTACAGCGTGTAATGATCAAATCAGGATAATTGGGATAACCATCACCTCAAATATGTATTATTTCTTTGTGTTCAGAACATTCCAATTCCACACTTTTATTCTCTAATTTATACAATAAATTCCACAATAAATTATTGTTTACTATAGTCACTCTATTGTGCTACCAAACACTGGCTCTTATTCATTCTACCTAATTATGTTTTTGCAGATATTAGCCATCCCCACTTTATTAACCCTCCCCTATACTTTTCCCACCCTCTGGTGACCATCAGTCTATTCTCTGTTTCCCCTAGTTCCATTTTTTAAAATTTTAGCTCTCACATAGGAGATGAGAACATGCAAAATCTTTCTGTGCCTGATGGAGTCAACTGATACTTGACAACAGTGCCAAGAACATTCATTGAGAAAAAGACTGTGTCTTCAATATATAGTGCTGGGAAAGCTGGATAATTACCATCAGAAAAATGAAAGTAAACTGCTAATTCTTACACTGTACCAAAATCAACTCAAAAACGGGTTAAAGACCTACAGGTAATCATTTTTATTACTGCTGGAATATTTCAGTCCTTATTGTTGATCTAAAATATGCCTGATGTTAAATTATTTCCTGGGATTCATTCCCTTATAAAAAAACGTAAACTTGTTATAGGCCATCTAGAGTGGTATCAGGACTTAAGAATCCCTGACGATCCCTCTGCTAAATCCCTGTAATAATAAGTTCCCTAAATCAAAAGAAAGAGTAACTGGTACATTAAATGTCAAAGATAAGAACGACAAGGCATCTTACAGCTTTCAATTAGATTCACCAAGTCAAGAAACCTTTTTTGTTTTCAACATAAACAAAAAAGTGAATTTAAAATTACAGGCATATAAAGTGACAGCAATAAAATTGTTATGCTGAGTACTAACATCAGTTAGATAAATTTCATTTCCATTTCTGCATGACCAAAATGACAAAAACATTCTCATTAACAACGTATTAAAAGTATGTGCTTTCAAAATTCATGGAAAAAATGTCATGAAGCAAAAAGGTTGTTTAAAATTGTATACATATTTGTTAAACTATTTTTTTCCAGACATCAGTGATTTTCTTCTTCCCTTAGTCACTTTTACTCCTGCACTCTAGGTGTGAAATAATATTTTAATTGCTACATACTGCTGAATGTACACATACCTGAGTTCTGTGACCTTAGGCACAAAGTGTTTCTACATTTTCACAGAGCAGATTCTCCGATTCACTCGTATCAGGGCCCCCATCACCTCCTTGTTTCTCAGGCTGTAGATGATGGGGTTGAGCATTGGAGTGAGGATGGTGTAGAAGACAGCCAGAACCTTGTCCTCTGTTGGAGATCGCAGGGATCTTGGACGTAGATAGGTGTAGACAAAAGGCACATAGTAGAAAGTTACTACAGTGAGGTGGGAGCTGCAGGTCACATAGGCCTTCTTTCTCCCCTCTGCAGAGTGCATGCGGTAGATAGCAAGGAGAACCTGGCCATAGGAGCATGCAATACCAATGAATGGAAACACAAGAAAGATGGCAGTGCTCAAAAACACTGTGCCCTCATAGACCCAGGTGTCCATGCAGGCCAGAGTCACCATGGCTGGGACATCGCAGAAGAAGTGATTAATGGTCCTGGATCGACAATAAGGGATATGGAGTATATACACAGTGTGAGCACAAGCATTGATAGAACCTATGATCCAAGATCCAGTTATCATCAGCACACACACTCTTTTGCTCATGCGGATGAGATAGTGGAGAGGAAAGCAAATAGCAATATAACGATCGTAGGCCATAGATGCCAAAAGTAGTGCTTCTGCACCTCCTAATGCCAAGAAGAAGAAGCTCTGAATCCCACAGCCAATGAAGGAGATAGACTTGTTTCCATACAGAAAATCAGATGCCATCTTAGGAACAATGGTGGAGATGTAATTTAGGTCAATGAGGGAGAGCTGACTAAGTAGGAAATACATGGGTGTGTGGAGATGGGTGTCCAAGAAGATGAGAAGAATCATGGATAGGTTTCCAATTAGAGCCATTAGAAATATGAAAACAATAAGAATGAAGAGGAAAAGGCCAATTCTTGGTGGTGGAAACAATCCCAATAAGATGAAATCAGTTGATGTTTGATTGTAGTTTTCCATGGGGCATTCCTACAATCCTTCCTGAAGGGAGACACAAGGGTAAGTGAAGTATGGAAATTCGCCATTATCTGCAGGGGATGCATTCCAAGACCCCCAGTGGTTGCCTGAATCCGAGGTTGACGCTGAACCTTATATACACTATTATTTTGTGTCCATACATACTTCTGATAAAGTTTAACTTTAAATAAGGCAAGTAAGAGATTAACAAGAGTAACATAAAATAGAGCAAGTATACAGTATACTGTAATACAAATTATGTGAATATGGTCTCTATGTTTCTCTCTCAAAATATTTTATTGTACTTAGCCTTCGTTAACCTGAATTTTACCTATTTTGAAAAAAGAAATCTTATTTTCCTACCCAGAGATAAACATTTGCTGAGATCAACAGACCAACATTTCTGACCAGATTTTTTTTCTGGGATATTTATAAGAAATATATCTCTGTTGCAACTTTAATAGAATATGAATGTTTTACTGCCTGACACAAATTTAGATATAATCAAAGTCAGATATTATATTGAATACATATGCATAGAAAGTCAATCTAAATGCCTACATTTAGATTTATATTTGCAAACATTAGTATTATCTTTATAGGATGATCTATTATATGTACATATTTACATATATATTTTTTGAGTGACCAGGTCTCTCTTTTTTACCCAAGCTGGAGTGCAGTGGCAAGATCATAGCTCATTGCACCCTTGAACTTCTGGGCTCATGTGATCCTCCTGCCTCAGCCTCCTGAGTAGTCTCATGCCACCGCACCTGGTTTTTTTATTTTTGTAGACGTGCAGTCTCACTATGTTGCCCAGACTGGTTTTGAACTCTTGACCTCAACAATCCTCCAGTATCTCGGTCTTGCAAAGTGCTGGTAGTGCACACATGAATTGCTTCATCCAACCCTTGTTTATTCTGTAAGATTTACTTCTAAAACTGCAGCAGCCTGTCTCTCATTTTGAGAAACCTAAATAATGTTTGTGCACTAACAGCAAGTTAAACTTCTTTTGTCAATTATCATTATTTGATTCTTTTATTTAGAAATCCAGAGTGAATCCTTATTGCTATGTCCCTTTATCCAAAGTCATGTTAATTCACACCCTTGATTTTCAATATTCATTGTCATCCATTCTCTTTTGCCTCTTCACCTAATTTCAGAATACTTTAGTTAAAGCAGACTCCTTACCAAATAGGTTACATATTTTGTCATTTCCTTCTCTAGTGCTTAGGGTAACATTGTACTTGCTTTATGGATCCTTCAGAAGAATGAATTTGGGGGAAAGTCCAATTGCCAAAAAACAAAAAATTAAAAAAAAAAACTAGAATCCTGACAAACTTCTTGGTGGAGGAGTGTTAGAAACTCTACTCTGGGCAGAAGACATCAGGGAACAACTTTGCACAGTACACCTAAAAAAACTGGAGTTTTTTAAGGCATAAATTTTAGTCTTGAGTCAAATATCAACAGAATTTTAAGCAAGTACAACAACATATACAAATAAGATACATATAGCATGCAAACACACACAAATATGCACAATGACACACAGTCACACACATAAATACACTGAGATTATAATGATCAAAAAATGAAGAGAGAAGGAATTGTGATCAAAATTCATGTCTTCAGAGATGTATGATATGTTAAGAAATCCATGAAATAAATATCCTTTGCTATGTAAAAGGATGTGACAGCTAACAATAAGGGAATTTTCAAAATTAAAAATATAATTGATAAAAATGTGAAGTTAAAGTCTCAAAAGACAAAGTAAGAAAATTCTATTAGAAGGCAAACCAAAGCAACAACAATATGAAAAGATTGCTACTTAGGACAGACAGAAAAATTGGGGAATTCATATGGGAGGACCAATATGTACTTGAGGATATTATTAGAAATGTATATAGCAAAATAATAGTAAAGTTAATATTCTTAAAATATTTTCTCTGAACTGAAATAATATTAACTATCATATTCAAATGGCCTGCATATTCACAAAAATAAGTGAGAAATGTTTTCCTGAGTCTATATGAAAATTCTATTTCCTTGGAAAAATTCCCTAAAAATTTCTAAATATTACCTAGAAGACAAAATTCTAAAGCTTTTGAAATAATAGTAATAAATATCAGAGGAAATATGTATATATATATATTTATGAAAAACTAGGTTTTACAATAGTTTATATTTTTTGTATTGTAGCAATAAATCTATAAGATGAAATGAGCTGTCAATCCCTCATTGCAGACACAAAGTGGAATGTAATTCTGCTGTGACAATGGGAGAAGGGTAAGGGACCTGGGGGTGATGATGGAGGAGGGAGCAGGTCAATATCCATGGGGGCCTATATCGCGGGTCAAGGAATGGTATCTGAGATATAGAAGATCAAGTATTAGCAGATGAATGTATTGTCTAAAAATACATGGGCAAATGTGGGAGAAAACTTGGAAAGATAACTTGAAGTCCTTGTCTTTGGGGTCAACAAGAGTTTCTTATGTTTCTAACATTTTATCTTGTGGTCTGTTAAGCCCATGTCTATGCATTTCTTGCATAAAACATTAAAATGATGTAAAAATTATGCCACAGTTGAGAATTTAACCCACAGCTTCATCATGAAAGACTGGCAGCTTTTACTCTAAGATTTGCAACAAGACACGAAAGTCCACTTTCTCTGCATCTATTCTACATATTACTGAAAGTTCAGTCAAAACAATTAAACAAGAAAAGAAATAAAATTACCTTAATTCAAAAGAAAGAAAGAAAATATTTCTGTTTGCATATGACATAATTATATATGTAGAAAGCTTAGGATAAATAAGAAACAAAATTAGCAGAATAACAGGATGCAACATCAACAACAACCAAAAACTGCTGTACTTCTGTACACTAACAATGAACAATCTGAAAATTACACTCTGATTTTTTTTACAGTAGTAACAAAAAGAAACAAAACACTTAAGAATAAACATAACCAAGAAGGTAAAACTTTTATACATTCAAATGACAAAATGCTGTTTAGAGCAATTAAAGAAGACACAAGTAAATGGAAATGCATGCTATATATTTATCGATTGGGGGGCTTCATACAGTTAAGATGTCAAAAATACCCAAAGTCACCCATCAGTGTGCTGTATTCAAGTGACACATTTCATATGTAAAGACACACATACACTCAGAATAAAGGGATAGAGGAAAATTTATCAAGCAAATGGAAAGAAGGAAAAAGCAGGAGTAGCAAACCTAGTTTCTGAAAAAATAAACTTTAAACCAACAATGGTCAAAAACGACAAAGAAGGGCATTACATAATGTAAAAGAGTCTAATTCAACAAGAATTTCTAACCATTTAAAATACGTATGAACCCAATACAGGAGCACCCAGATTCATAAAGCAAGTTCCTTGAAATGCCCATAGAAAAAAGCTAGAAAGATCTCAAATCGACAACCTAACAGCACAACTAAAAGAACTAGAGAACCATAAGAAAAGAAGCCCCAAACTAGCAGAATACAAGAAATAACCAAGAACAGAGGGAAACTGAAAGAGAGGGAGACACAAAAAACCCTTTAAAAAATTGACGAATCCAGGGGTTGGTTTTTGAAAAAAAAAAATGATAAACTAGATAGACCGTTATCAAGAATAATAAAGAAGAGAGAAGATTCCAGTGAACACAATCTGAAATGATAAGGGAAATACCACTACTGACCCCACAGAAATACAAATGACCATCAAAGAATACTATAAGCACCTTTATGCAAATAAACTGGAAAATCTAGAAGAAATGGATAAATTCTTGGACATGTAATCCCTCTCAAGACTGAACCAGGGAGAATTTGAATCCCTGAATAGACCAGTAAGAAGTTCTTAAATTGAAGCAATAATAAACAGCCTACCAATCAAAGAAAGCCCAGGTTCAGATGAATTACAGCTTTATTCTACCAGAGGTATAAAGAGGCATTGGTATCATTTCTTCTGAAACTGTTTCAAGCAATGAAAAGGAGGGACTCCACACTAACTCATGTTTTTTTTGTTTGTTTGTTTATTTTTCACTGTCACCCAGGCTGGAGTGCAGTGGCAAAATCTCAGCTCACTGCAAACTCCGCCTCCTGGGTTCAAGTGATTCTCATGTCTCAGTCTCCAGAGGAGCTGGCACAACAGGTAAACAACACTATGCCCAGCTAATTTTTTGTATTTTTAGTAGAGATAGGGTTTCACCATGTTGGCCAGGCTGGTCTCAAACTCCTGACCTCTGGTGATCCACCTGCCTCAGCCTTCCGAAGTGCTGGATTATAAGCATTAGCCACCATGCCCAGCCCACAGCCCACGCTAACTCATATTATGAGGCCAGCATCACCCAGATACCAAAACCTGGAAAAAAAACAACAAAAAAAAAAAAAAAAAAAGAAAGAAAAAGAAAAGAAAACGTCATGCCAATATCCCTGATGAACCATGTGATACAAACATACTCAATATAATATTGACAAATTGAATCCAACGGCACATCAAAAAGCTCTTCCACCATGATCAAGTGGGCTTCATCCCTGGGATGAAAGGCTGGTTGTACATAAACAAATCAATGAATGTAATCCATCACATAAACAGAACTAAAGACAAAAACTACATGATTATCTCAATAGGCAGAGAAAAGGCTTTCAATAAAATTCAACATCCCTTCATGTTAAAAACTCTCAATAAACTAGGTATTAAAAGAACATACCTCAAAATAATAAGAGTCATTTATGACAAACGTGCAGCCAGTATCATACTGAATGGGCAAAAGCTGGAAGTATTCCCCCTGAAAACTAGCACAAGACAAGAATGCCCTCTTTTACCACTCCTATTCAACATAGTGTTGGAAGGTATGACCAAGGCAATTGATGAAGAGAAAGAAATAAAGGATATTGAAATAAGAAGAAAGGAGGTCAAATTGCCTTTGTTATCAGATGACATGATTCTATCTAGAAAACCCCACTGACTCAGCCCAAAGGCCTCTTAAGCTTATAAGCAAATTCATCAAACTCTCAGGATACAAAATTGATGTGCAGAAATCTCAAGCAAGCCTACACTCCAGCAACAGACAGGCAG